GCTGTTCTAATTCACAAGCTGGGGAGAAAAAAGCATGATGTTTTCCGCTCCCATAAAAATGCACAGTCTCATCACCTCTATGTAGAGTTACTATGGCTTGGAATCAACTCAATAGTGGTGGATGAGTGGCGGGGATAGTATAAGCTCCTAATATTGCCCGGTAACTTGAATATAAAAATTAATTTTTAGATGCATGATATTTTCTAAAAGAAGCATGATATTATTTGTAAGTCCTCGGTAGTCTCATTGATTTATGAAGCAAACCAAGACCAAATCCAGTACTATTGGGTTCAATCGTAATAACATTGATATTATTGACAGAGTAGAACCACCAAACAAGGTTTTCAAGCCTGCAAGCTTCATGCAGGTAGACTCTCATGTCTTGTTTCATTTTCCCTGCAGAGCAGAAGATGTGATCCAACATTTCAGTTAGCAACTAAGCACTTTACCACTGAGTTATCAGGCCTCCTTTAGAAATATGGATAAACATATGAAAATAACTGGGAGTATAAATTTGAAGCATTTCTTAATCAACCTAAATAATATTTATAGTATAAAAACAAGTAGATATATCCCAAACCACTTGGCATATTTTATTGGGAGAGAAATGCAAAAATCAAACCTTTTCCTATATCAATACATTTGACATGTAGAGTAAATTAAACTTATTTTAAATAAAACATTTTCCTGATTGTCAGTATTCCTGAGGTACATCTTTTACTTACCGTATTAGAAAAGTAGCATAATGTGTTTCTGATCTTTTCATACGCCACCACTCAATTGACCAACCCCATGCCTCTTTTCACAATATACCTTTAGGGATATATTATGGCCCTCAAAAGAATATGTATAGTTTATAATTATTTTGCAAATCAATTAATGACTGTTTATATTTATCCTATAATGCTAAATGTCACATCTCAAAATGAATTCATGCAGCATTGTTTTCTAGGATCACCAATATTTTAAGGGTGAATGAAGACAGAAGATAACAATTTGCAT